ACAACAACCATCACCACCAGCAACCATCGCACCTATGGCTTATCGCACAACAGCAGCCATCACCACCACAACAGCCATCACCACAGCAAGCCATCACCACCACAACAACCATCACCCACAACAACCATCGCCAATGTAACAACCATCACCACTATAACAGCCATCACCACTATAACAGCCATCACCACTATAACAACCAACACCACTACAACAGCCATCACCACTATAACAACCATCGCAATATAACAGCCATCACCGCTGCAACGGCCTTCACCACTATAGCAACCATCACCGCCTTAACAACCATCACCACTATAACAACCATCACCACTATAACAACCATCACCACTGTAACCAGCCATCACACTATAACGCAACCATCACCACTATAACAACCATCACCACTATAACAGCCATCACCACTTTCCATAACAACCATCACCCATATAACAGCCATGCCACTGCCAACAACCATCACCACTATAACAACCATCACCACAACAACCAAATCCACGCCACTATAACAACCATCACCACAACAGCCAAGTCACCGCCATAACAACCATCACCACAACAATAATCACCACAACAACCATCACCCCAACAACCCATCACCACAACAGCCATCACCACTATAACAACCATCACCACTATAACAACCAACACCACTACAACAGCCATCACCACTATAACAACCATCTTAATATAACAACCATCACCACTATAACAACCATCACCACATAACAACCATCACCAGTATAACAACCATCACCACTATAACAGCCATCACCACTATAACAACCATCACCACTATAACAGCCATCGCCACTATAACAACCATCACCACAACAACCATCCACCACAACAACCATCACCCACTACAGCAACCATTACAACAACCATCACCTATAACAATCATCACCGCAACAACCATCACCACTATAACATGCATCACCACCCCAACCATCTTCTACAGCAACTATCACCCAACAACCATCACCCACTATGGTAACCATTACAACAACCATCACCGCTTTAACAATCAACACCACAACAACCATCACCACCCTGGCAGCCTGTCCTGCAACAACCATCACCACAACCAGCCATCACCACACAACAACCATCACCCCAGCAACCCAACCACCCCCATCACCACTGCGGAGCCTTCTTACTATAACAGCCATCACTTTACAGCCATCACCACAACAACCATCACCACAACAGCCATCACCAAAACAACCCACTCCACTGCAGCAACCATCTTACAGCAACCATCACCACGCTTATCCATCACCCACAACAACCATCTGGCATCCCATCACCTGACAACCTCCGCACGGCAGCCATCTTCACAACAACCATCACCCAGCTTATTTCGTCACCACTATAACAACCATCACCACAGCAACCATCACCGGCAACTATCACCTGACAGCCATCGCAAAACAACCCATCACCCCAGCAACCATCAGCAGCCATCACCGCTATAACCGGCCATCTTTGACAACCATCACCCACCCAGCAACCATCACCCACCACTATAACAACCACATCACCACTATAACAACCATCACCACTATAACAGCCATCTGCCACTATAACAACCATCACCACTATAGCAACCATCACCACTATAACAACCATCACACCACAACAACCATCACCACCAACAACTATCACCCCAACAACCATCACCACTACAGCAGCCATTACCACAACAACCATCACCACTATAACAATCATCACGCCGCAGCTTAGCCATCTCACACTATAACAACCATCACCACAACAACCCTCACCACAACAACTATCACCCCAACAACCATCACCACTATAGTAACCATTACCACAACAACCATCACCATAACAATCAACGCCACAGCAACCATCACCGCACTATAACAGCCATCCGCAACAACCATCACCACAACAACTTCATCGCACAACCTGACCTCACCCCAGAACCCATCACCCCCATCACCCACTATGAGAACCATCACCACTGCCAACGCAACCATCACCACAACCATCACCCCAACAACCATCACCAACAACCATCATCAAAACAACTGTCACCACAACAACCATCACCCCAACAACCATCACCACAACAACCATCACCCATAAGTCAAAATATTACTAATAACATCCCCAAAGTACACAACATGAACTTACAACAACTGAAACAGACAAGAATTAAATAGGTTTTTAGTACTTTTATTTTTTTAAATTATGTACAGAAAATATTAAATTTGTCTAAAAATAAAGTCTTTGCCTGCCTCTGCTTGGCGTTCATGGGCGTTTTGCTGACCTACATCAAAGCGAAGAATGTCGAACTCGAGGAAGACGTTGCCTGCCTGACCGACCACCTGCTGAAGGTCTACGAGCACCGATTCTGGCTGAAACCTCCACCCCTCGACTTAAAACCCGAGATGTTCCAGTCTTCCTGGGAGAGAGTCCCGTGGTTCCGTCATTTCGTCACGAGAGTGATGAAGACCAGACAGCGGGAGTACCTCGTGCGAGTTAGCGCTAATCTCCTTGTTGAAGACAATAAGCGCATCTATATGAATGTAATCATCCATTCGTGCCTATGTGTCGGTCTCCTATTGGGTTGCATGCACACCCTCAGTAAATATTACTTCCATCGCCTGTTCGGTCCCCCAGTGAGCAGTTGTCCTGCAATTTGGATGGACGACGGGACTGAGAGTAGCTTTGGCAAGCAGCCTCAGGACAGCTTTCACAAACAGTCTCAGGGCAGCCTAGACAGAAAGCCTCAGAGCAGCTTTGAAAAGCAGCCTCAGGGCAGCTTTCACAAGCAGCCTCGGGGCACCTTTGATAAGCAGCCTCAGGGCAGCTTTCAAAAGCAGCCTCAGGGCAGCTTTCAAAAGCAGCCTCGGGGCAGCTTTCAAAAGCAACCTCTGGGGAGCTTTGACAAGCAGCCTCAGGACAGCTTTAAAAAGCTACCTCAGGGTAGGTCTGATAGGCTACCTCAAGGCAGCTCTGATAAGCGCCCTCAGGGCAGCTCTGATAAGCTACCTCAGGCGTTCTTTGATAAGCAGCCTCAGGAGAGCTTTGAAAAGCTACCCCATGGCAGCTCTGATAAGCTACCTCAGGGCAGCTCTGATAAGCCTCAGGGCAGCTCTGATAAGCTACCTCAGGCATCCTTTAATAAGCAGCCTCAGGAGAGCTTTGAAAAGCTACCCCATGGCAGCTCTGATAAGCTACCTCAGGGCAGCTCTGATAAGCTACCTCAGGGCAGCTCTGATAAGCTACCTCACTGCAGCTGTCAAAAGCTACCTCGGAGCAGCTCTGATAAGCAGCCTGAGGACAGTATTTTCACATATATCGAGTGGGACAATCGTCTTCTGAATGGTCGGCAGATTGCCTCCGATGTATTCTCCAAAACGTTCTTTGTCCGCGAAGGCGTGTTGCCGGGTCATAGCCCGTTATCTGTAAAGGTCTTCAAGACCTTTGACGGCAACAAGGCCATGGCCAAGCGGAGTCTGAGTCATTGCTGTATCTCAAATCGGTGTGCCTCGTGTGGTGCAGCGGCAACCAAGACGCCCCCGCCATCTTTACTGAATACACCTCTGACTTGACTCTGAGACACTGGACGCAAATGGCGTACGTGCGGCCGGATGACAAAACTCTCCTTGGAGTTATGAAATGTTGTCCATACCATTAGTGAAATTCACAAATATGGGCTGATTCATAATTTCATCGTGACGACAACATAGTGTACTTCCTATCCGGTAAGGTGCAGGTAACGATCAAAAATTTTTGTCTACAACTACGACAGACCAGGCCCGCGACTTTAAAAGTTAGCATATCGGACGTGTACCCGTTCATCACCGGGAGAAAGTTAGGAACTCCGCCAGCGAGGCAGAAGCTGAGAAAATCCGCCAAGCCACTTTCTGGTGGGTCGCCCGGAACTGTTCCACAGTGGTAAGGCCTCACCAGCCTCCGATGTCTTCTCCCTGTGTGTTCTGATGAATACACTCCGGAAATGCATGACCAAGCCACAGGACCTCTACCCTCTTATCAACCAGGGTAAGTCTCACAATCCCAACAAGCGGCCATCTGTCTCGCTCATCTTAGAAGATCGATGAGCTCCTCCAGAAATATTAATAAGTTTACTCCTCTTATTTTACTCTTATACTTAACTTTTAACTCTGTTATTGTTACTAATAACTTATGAATACTTTGCTTTTTCTAAATAGTCTCTTCTATCTTAAAAAAAAAGACCGCTTGATGAGGCACTGCAGCTCTCGTTAGTATCAACAGTTGGGGTAACTAATCTTCAGAAGATTCAATTTATTTTATTACAGTTAAATCTATCGTCACCTAACGTGGCCTTGGACGGCTGGGCCAGATCTTCACTCTCACCAACAATATACTGTATGTATTATGATTATGGTTAATGAGATCAGGTTCTTATTATCACCTGACTTTACACCTGAATGTTATTTATTTAACCTCAAACATGGCTTGATGTCACCTCATCCAAGTTTCTTTATTTCCGGTTGGGAGGCATTAGAGTAAATTTATTAATGTACAGGTTCTACCAGCCAGTAGACATATGACAAAATCTACCAGAATGTAGATATTTCCTCTTAACTACACAACAATAAACGCAGTACAGTACACAATGGCGCACCGGACCACTGAAGTCTCACACCCATTATTTGAGGAAATCTTGACACACAATAATACCAGTAATGGAAACTGTCGACACCTTTGTTCCTGCCTGGAGTCGTCTTATATTGAAAGGTCCCATCATCCGGTACTCGATGTCCACGCTACCGGTTAAATTGGCGCTGGCCCGAGTGAGGAAGGCAGCCAAGAAAGTGGAATAGAGAGTTGGTGCCAGTACACCCTTGTTTAACCCCCGGTTGGATGGGGATGAACTCAGACTGGGTGCATTTGTGCAGGACACTGCCGTTCATGCCATCGTAGAGTTGACACATAATGGTGATGAATTTGGTTGGGCAGCCAAAATGGCTGAGGTCCAGAAGGTTTCCCTATTGACCGAGTCGAAGGCCTTAGTTAGTTGGATGATAGCCATGTACACGGCACGACGCTGTTCTCTGCAAAGATCATGTCATTGCCACGTGATGGTCTAAAGCCACATTGAGATGTGGGGAGGAAGTTTTCCGCCTCAGGAAGAAGTCAGTTTAGGAGGACCCGGGCGATATTCTTGCCAGCTACTGACATCAGCGAGATCCTGCGGTAGTTGCCACAGTCTGTCCGGTCTCCCTTGTTCTTATAAATATTAACGATGGAGACGTCTTTAAGAGCTTTGGGGATTTCCTCCTTCTCCCATATATTCTCCGGGAGAAGTGGAGACGGCTGGTAAGCAGAGGTCCTCCTGCTTTATACACCTCGCCTGTGATTCCGTCAGGCCCTGAGGCTTTGTTATTTTTCATTTGTTTGATGGCAGTAGCTACCTCATCCAAGGGTGGAGGATAGTTGAGGTGGGTCGGCTGTGGATGCTGAGGGACCTGCTGGGTAGTCAGGACATTCACATTGGTTGTTCGGTTGAGCAGTGAATAGTAGTTCTCTTTCCAGCACTGAAGGCATTCATCATCTTTAATTAGGGAGTTACCGTCGGATGAACGGAGGGAGGCTGCGCTACGAGTGATTGGCCTAAACACACACACACACACACACACACACACACACATTTTTTGTTAATGGTTGTTCCTCGTGTAACGAGGAAGGCCGGCCCGAGGGCCACCTAGACGTGAATTTGTTTAAGGTGTAGAAGCTGTCAACAACACAACCACACCCTGAGTTAACGAGCTGCATGACCCAGTGTCAAGGAATAGTCCGAGAAGACCGGACAACTGGCCAACTGCACTGGCTATCCATTACCCCGGAACACGATCCGCAACCGATTAACATCTATTTATCTATCTATCTATCTATCTATCTATCTGTGTGTCTGTGTGTCTGTCTGTCTACAGCTCTCAAATGTCATGGTCATGTTATTATTGTTACACTGTACACTCTTTGTATATAAAAGGTAACATTGCCTAAAGTACTTGCATCTCTTTAATTACGACGTCTACCCGATCGACAGGATACCAATTTCCTGTACAACATGCTCAGTGATATAAAAAGAACAGCGCCAGCACGAGCAATCAACATCGCCTGGCGTTATTCTCAACCAAGAAATGACTCGCTTTTGGAAGTTACTTCACGTGAATTTTCTCTTGGCTTCTACTAACAGAGGAATATCTATTATGGAACGATATTATGGCTCACTCCTTCAGCCTCGCCCCGCCCCGCCCCGCCCCGCCCCGCCCTCCCGCCCCAGTAGAAACAACTCCAGACTTATGCATTCGCCCTCCTCCTGCCATATATGCCCCTCTCTTCCTCCCTCATTCCCCACACACCGAGCAATCAGACCTACTGTATATATTAAAAGGTTGTTGACATTCTTGAAACATTCTATCATAAACACTTCCAACACCACCCTCCCTCCCTCCCTCCCTCCTCTTCCTCATACCGCCTTCTTCTTCCGGTTCCCGTAATAAACCCCCTCAACGACCATTACTAATCCACCAAATCCCTTCAGTAATCGCTTATATAATCCCATAACCTTGATGTCCCCCAGACACTCATATCCAACCTCAGCTGCCCCCAACCCGCCACCCGACCCGCCACCCCAACCAGTCGCACCAACCAGTCGCCCCAACCAGTCGCTCCAACCAGTTACCCCAACCAGTCGCCCCAACCAGTCGCCCCAACCAGTCGCTCCAACCTTTCGCCCCAACCAGTCGCTCCATCCAGTCGCTCCAACCAATCGCCCCAACCAGTCGCTCCATCCAGTCGCTCCAACCATTCGCCCCAACCAGTCGCTCCAACCAGTCACCCCAACCAGTCGCCCCAACCAGTCGCCCCAACCAGTCGCTCCAACCAATCGCCCCAACCAGTCGCTCCATCCAGTCGCCCAACCAGTCGCCCCAACCAGTCGCTCCAACCAATCGCCCAACCAGTCGCTCCATCCAGTCGCTCCAACCAGTCGCCCCAACCAGTCGCTCCAACCAATCGCCCCAACCAGTCACCCCAACCAGTCGCCTCAACCAGTCGCCCCATCCAGTCGCTCCAACCAGTCGCCCCAACCAGTCGCTCCAACCAATCGCCCCAACCAGTCGCTCCATCCAGTCGCTCCAACCAGTCGCCCCAACCAGTCGCTCCAACCAATCGCCCCAACCAGTCACCCCAACCGGTCGCCTCAACCAGTCGCCCCAACCAGTCGCCCCAACCAGTCGCTCCATCCAGTCGCTCCAACCAATCGCCCCAACCAGTCGCTCCATCCAGTCGCTCCAACCAGTCGCCCCAACCAGTCGCTCCAACCAATCGCCCCAACCAGTCACCCCAACCAGTCGCTCCAACCAGTCGCCCCAACCAGTCGCTCCAACCAATCGCTCCAACCAGTCGCTCCAACCAGTCACCAAGAACCACGAGAAAGGAAGAATCAAACCAATTGAAAGAGGACATAGACAAAAAATAAGAAAAGAGGAAGAAGGAATTGATAAAGAGAGGAACGAAATAAAGAGGAAGGAAGACAAGACTCACAGGAGAATAAACAAAATGAGGAAGAGGAAACAGATGACACGGAGAAGAAAAGAAACGGGAGATAGAGGAGAAGAGAAGAGGGAAGGGGATTTTGTTTAGAGAAGAAGAAGAGAAGGATTTGGTTAGGTTAGGTCAGAATAGGTTAGGTTAAATTAAGTTAGGTTAGGTTAAATTAGGTTAGGTTAGGTTAAATTAGATTAGATTAGGTTAGGTTAGTAAGTTTAACAAAAGCAAAAACAAAATAAAATAAAAAGCATGGTGAAAAAATAAAGATGTAGATAAGAAGAGAGGAAGAAGAAAGTGTGGGGAAAGAGGGAGCAAGAAATTGTTGGAGGATTTGAGAGGCAACAGCTGTGTGTGTGTGTGTGTGTGTGTGTGTGTGTGTGTGTGTGTGTGTGTGTGTGTGTGTGTGTGTGTTTATTGGGCACTCCCCTACATCCTTGTGTAAGGTGAAGCGCAGAAGCGTTTACAGCGCCCAACAGGGAAGCATGCTAAGTTCATGCTTGCCTTATGTCTCATGAGTCAAGGGCGTAGAAGCCTGAAGAGTCAAGGGCGTAGAAGCCTGAAGAGTCAAGGGCATAGAAGCCTGAAGAGTCAAGGGCATAGAAGCCTGAAGAGTCAAGGGCATAGAAGCCTGAAACCAAGGGCATAGAAGCCTGAAGAGTCAATGGTTTATGTCTAAGCAAGTTGTTGGAATTCGCAACTTTCGATTTACAGCAGGTACCTACATTACTTCCAGGTGAACACGAACTAGGAAGAGTGTCCAAACAACTTCCGCTCTATCACCAGCGCCCCATGTGTGTGTGTGTCTGTGTGTGTGTGTGTGTATGTGTAGACGTGTCGGCCCTAGGTCATCCAGGTCACGTGACACCATTGAGGGCGACACCAGGGCCTTACAGCTTCCGGTGACCTGAGCAGGGCTGTTTGACCTCCCTCCCCCTCCCTTCCTCTCCCTCCCCTCCCCTGGGCGTACTCCTACACATAATGCTTTCGAGGTGGAAAGCTGAGAGATTGAGAGTGCAAGGAGATGAGAGGTGATTGAGTGGGTTAGAAGATAGAGGGATGAGAAGGAGATTGGGGTGAGGGGGATTGGAGGGGGGGATTATTAAGGGGGTCAGAAGGGATTGAGGTGGGGGATATTTATGAGGGTGACGGTGTGAAGGTTGATTGAAGGCGAGGGTGAGGGGAGAGTCTACTTCTCGCATGACCTAACCTAACCTAAAGAGTAAATATACATACAAGCAGAGTCTTGAGGTATAATTCGTTCCTCACATCACCTCCCCCTCCCCCCCCTCCCCCACCAGCTCCCATATATCATCACTATTAACTATCAGGCTTGTGTCGTTTGTCATGCATGAACCGGAAATGTCAATGACCTGTGTAGCCTGAGGTCAGCACGTGGCACTAGTAAATGACCTCACTGCTGTCCGTATCAAATAGTGTGTGTGTGTGTGTGTGTGTGTGTGTGTGTGTGTGTAAATAATAATAATAATAATAAACGGTTTATGAAAAGTTTGCAGCCCGAAGGCTGAAAATATACATTGGACATAAATGACTTATTACATACATTGGTGGTTTAACAAAAGCCTTCATTAGAGAAAGGTGAAGGAACATACAGTGAACATACAGATTAATGTTTACAGTGGAGGTCACGTGAGCTGAGGTTGTGGGGTATGGGATGTTTGGGTTCACACTCAGGATGGTGTGGGGTTCAAGATGTTTGGTTCACACTCAGGATGGTGTGGGGTTCAAGATGTTTGGTTCACACTCAGGATGGAATGGAGAAAGGAAACTCACAATGTGCTCCCTATATACATGTTGTATTGGATGTACAATGCAGCTTGGTGCTGGTTTTGTGGCAGCGTGGTTACAAGCGTGATGTAGAGAGAGCTGGTTGGTGAGTGCTCAGAGGAGGACAACTTGGGGTCGCCATGCTCGCCGGCGGAGCGAGGGCCGCCAGGCAGCGGCGGAGGAGGAGGAGGTGTTGCTTGACGCGGCTGTAGCTAGAAGAAGAGAGAGCTGGTTGGTGAGGATGCTCAGAGGAGGACCAGCTTGTGGGTCGCCATGCTCGCCGGTGGGAGCGAGGACCGCCAGGCAGCGACGGAGGAGGTGGAGGTGTTTTGGTTGGTGGGTAGAAGTGTGTGTGTGTGTGTGTGTGTGTTGGATGATACGTGTAGGCGAATAATCAAATGAAGAAATCCAATTATATATAAAATTACAGTTATTATATTAGATCTTATATGTGTTCTATAGGTAATAATTTTACTATCTATATTGATTACAATTATTTAACAGTGGTTCCCAACCTCTTGAAGACTTCCATATTTGTCATTGTAAACACGACACATTAGAGACAAACAGAGTTCCTTTATAAAGTTATTGCATAAGTTTATTATTTTTTACACTGTGACAGATTACCAATTACTTCACACTTTTCTAATAAACCCTTGTAGCCTCCATAACGGGGGGTTCCGGGCACTACAGCTTAGGGGACTACTACATTATATCACGTGCAATAATATATACAGTCAAGATACTTGTGTTTTCACTGGTTCTCCTCTTCGTTATGAAACTACGCTTTCCACGTTACAAGTCTATTGCTGAAGTTATATATAGCAATATTTAGGTTATATTGATATTATTTTGGTGTTCGTGTTGACTTAAACTGATACTAATTTTCTTATGAGTAAAATACGTGAATCATAACAGGTGGACAATGTATATATAAAATTCATACAGGGAAGCATACATATACATAATTAATAGACTTGTTAAATACGAACATCCGATTTGGTTAGGTTAGGCTAGGTTAGGTTAGGTTAGGTTAGGTTAGGTTAGGTTAGGTTAGGTTAGGTTAGGTTGTTCACTCTTATAGACATAGTAGAAGACAGAATGAGGAGCTGTGAAGAACCAGAACTGAGAGACTAAGTGAAGCGACAAGACCCGCTGTGGTGTGTGTGTGTGTGTGTGTGTGTGTGTGTGTGTGTGTGAATCTATCTGAGTACATATGTATGAAAAAACAGTACACTGACTCTTTCCATGCTCTCTTCCTCCTTCTCTGGTCTCTCTCTCAGCCCCCCCTCCATCTCTCCCGCCTCCCTAGGACACTGGAGGCACCCTGACCCACGGTGTGTAGAACATGATAGGGAGTTTCTGCACATGCCCGGCTGGCACCATGTTGGGGGGTGGGGAGGGAAGGGGGGGGGGGTGGGTGGGACAGATGAAGGTGGAGGGGAGAAGGAAGGATGACAGAAAGGAAGTGGAGTAGAATGGGAGGGATCAGGTTGGTGTTGGGGAGAGTTACCGGAATAGGGAGGGTAAGGGAGAGAGGGGAGGGTAAGGGAGAGAGGGAGGGTAAGGAGAGAGGGAGGTAAGGGAGAGAGGGAGGGAGGGGAGGAGGGGTAAGGAGGAGGGAGGTAAGGGAGAGAGGGGAGGTAGGAGAGAGGAAGGGTAAGGAGAGAGGGGAGGGTAAGGGAGAGGGGAGGGTAAGGGAGGGAGGGAGGGGGGGAGGAGGAGAAAAACAAGGGAAAATATTACAAAGGAGGAGGGAGTATTATGGACCACATGAGGCAGTAGAAGGAAGAAGAAAATGAAGAAGAGAGAGGAAGGAGGAGGAATAGGGAGGAGGAATAGGGAGAGAGAGTCTGGGACAATTGAAGGAGAGGGAGTGAGGAAGAGGGGTGAGGAGGACGAAGAGGAGGAGGAGGAGGAGGAGGAAGAGGAGGAGGAGGAGGAGGAGGAGGAAGAGGAGGAGGAGGAGAAGAGGAGGAGGAGGAGATAAGTTGGTGGACGAATACTGTTGGCACGTACATAAAATGACCACGTTGGCAAGAATGTTGAAGAGAGGGAGGAGGAAGTGGGTGGAGGATGAACAATGAGAGGGGAGAGAGGGATAGAATATGAGAGGGGAGAGAGAGGATGAACAATGAGAGGAGGAGAGAGAGGGGTAACAATTAGAGGGGAGAGAGAGTGATGAACAATGAGAGGAGGAGAGAGAGGGGTGAACAATTAGAGGGGAGAGGGATAGAATATGAGAGGGGAGAGAGGATGAACAATGAGAGGAGGAGAGAGAGGGGTGAACAATAGAGGGGAGAGAGTGATGAACAATGAGAGGAGGAGAGAGATGAAATGTGAGAGGGGAAAGAGAGGGTAAACAATGAGAGGAGAGAGAGGATGAACAATGAGAGGGAGAGAGGGATGAACAATGAGAGGGAGAGAGAGAGGAACAATGAGAGGGGAGAGAGGATGAACAATGAGAGGGGAGAGAGAGGGATGAAGAATAAGAGGGGAGAGAGAGGGATGAAGAATAAGAGGGAGAGAGGATGAGAGTGAGAGGGGAGAGAGGAGGAAGAATGAGAGGAGTAGAGAGGGATGAAGAATAAGAGGGGAGAGAGAGGGAAGAAGAGTGAGAGGGGAGGAAGAAGGATGAAGAATGAGAGGGGGAGGGAGAGGTACAAACTAACAGTACAGCGAAATAGAACTCAATATAAAGGGGCAGTTTATGGTTATGTTATGTTATGTTATGTTGTTATGTTATGTTATGTTGTCATGTTATGCTATGTTATGTTATGTTGTCATGTTATGCTATGTTATGTTGTCATGTTATGTTATGTTATGTTATATTATGTTGTTATGTTATGTTATGTTGTTATGTTATGTTATGTTGTCATGTTATGCTATGTTATGTTGTTATGTTATGTTGTCATGTTATGCTATGTTATGTTGTTATGTTATGTTATGTTGTCATGTTATGCTATGTTATGTTATGTTGTCATGTTATGCTATGTTATGTTGTCATGTTATGTTATGTTATGTTATATTATGTTGTCATGTTATGTTATGTTATGTCATGTTATATTATGTTGTCATGTTATGTTATGTTGTCATGTTATGTTATGTTATGTTATGTCATGTTATATTATGTTGTCATGTTAT